AATTGGCCATTGGTTTGGCTCCGATTTGGCCACAGGTGGGTTCAACATTGAAATCCGAGCCAAGAGGAGAAATTTTACCTCGTTTGGCAGCCGGAAAGTGCTCCGGCACGGCGGCGGGTGGCAGTGGTTGGGTTGTCTTCTCCGACGAGGGCTTTAGTGGCTAGGGTTTGGGGTTGGGGGTGGATGAGATTATTTATAACCTTTCCCTTTTAATCTGAGTTATCCATCATAATTTAATCTGGACCGTTCGATCGCGATTAAATTGGGAATGAATCTGGACCGTCAATCGCGATGCGATATGGGCCGTCCGTACGTGATTCAATTTGGGGCGTCCGCACGCGCGAAATCTGGGCCGTTCGCACGCGCTTTTGATCTGGGCTATCCGTGTGTGCGAGAACGGATCTCAGCCATCGATCGCGCGCACGCGGATCACCCACGTGGCTCCGTTCTGCGTGGCCTCCCGCGTCAGTGTCTCTGCCACGCAGTGTGTCCTGGTTGGTCGGGGCTACTGACCGGGCTGCTGACATGGCTGTTTACGTAGTGTAATTTTTCTAAATTACGTTTTGACCACCGGTTTTCGATTTTCTTTTCAAAAACACCCTCAGAATCCGAATTTTCACCTCTTTTTCCCAAAATTGTTTTCAATTAAATCTCAAAAATAATTTTATCCCTTTTATCATTATTATTATTTTTATTTTTATTTAATTAAATTAAACTAAATTTAAAATCATATAATTATTACATAATAAATTAATTATAATAATTAAAATAAAATAAAATAAAAATAATTCCAATAATAATAATAATAAAAGAATTAGGGTGTTACAGTTTGGGTTTTTACAAATAAATTTTTAAATTTACTGAAAGATGATTATATGATAAATGTACGATATTAATCTAACCAAATAAATTAATTTACAATAAACAATATAAAATGATAGAACTTGATTAAAATCAAATCTAAAAATTTTGTTGACAAAAACAAAAGAGAAACATCTAGACACTTCTTCAACCGTAGATTCCATTCATGATTCCTCAGTGAGCGAAAAAAAAAACAAAGAAGCACAAAAAGACGAGCAATTTATGGTGTATAGCCATAATAAAATCTTCTTTATTATTAAAAGTGTTTTTAATTTATTATTGGAATTAATAATTTACTTTTTTATTATCATTATTTTTTGTTTCTATTATAATTAACATTAACAACATTATTAGTATTAATTTTTTATTTTTAATTAAGGTTAGCATTCATACTTCTATTATTTTACTATTTATTAATTTAATTATAATTAGTAAAATATTATTATAAATAATTTTATAGTTTCAGTTATTGATTATTCAAATATTAAATAATATTTTTAAGAAACTTTCATAATTGATTATCTAACTCAATCAATGTAGCACCCGGAAAAAAAAAAAAAAAAAAAAAAAAAAAAAGGGGCCACGTCAGCAGGCCCGGTCAGCAGTCCCGGCCAACCGGGGCCTGCCACGTGGCAAGATCGCGTCACTCCAAAAGGAGCCACGTTGGCGATCCGCGTGGGTGCGATCCGACGGCCCAGATCAATCGCGCGATCGGACGGCCCAGATTCAATCAAAAACGAACGGCCCAGATTAAAACGAAATGAACGGCTGTGATCAAAAGGCAATGGGTTATAAATAGAACCCCCACACCAGACCACAAACCCTAGCCGCCAGCCGCTCGCCGGAGAAGACGAACCAGAGGCCGACCGCCGCCACCCGCCGCCACTCGCCGCCGCACCGGGGAAATTTCCGACCGCCGATCGAGGTAAATTTCATACCCCCGACTCGTTTTTCCCCACTGATTCCTCCTATGGCCAAATCGAAGCCGAAATCCCGGCCAAACGGCCGGAATACGCGGCCGAAGCCCAGCGGCGCCGCCGCGCCCCCTCTCGGTTTTTGCCTCCGACGAGGCCCTTCCCGGCCTCCGTTCGATGCAATTTTTATATCACCGTGATCACCATTCTTTTCTCTACAGGTTGACCGAAGCCAAATCACCAAAACACGAACCTCGCCGGAGGGTCGCCGTACCCGAGAGCGCCGCCGCCGGTAAGCTCCGCTTTTCCGTGATTTTTTGGCCCCCCGAGGGCCCTAGGGTTGTTTTCTTACAAGGACCGATGCGAGTGTGGCCGAATTCGGCCGAAAACGGCCGAAAACAGCCAACCCGAGGTGACTCGCCGCCGCCAGCGGCGGCGCCGTCGCCGGAGCACGGCGGAGCCGCCGTGCCGGAGTTGCGATTTGGGCCGAAAGAGGCCCTGGGCCTAATTTGGATTTTTTTTGGAACACGTGCAGGTACTGTTAGCGTGTTTCAGTTCCCCGGGAAAAATTCAGGGAAAATTAGGGACAGCCTGCAGGCGCACTGTGAATCGTATTCGGATCCCGAAAACAAGTAAGGACCCCTCACCCTATTTCCTATCACGGTATTAAAGTTCAAAATGATAAAACGGTATTTCTTGAATTAACGCATGTGTGAAATTGCTTAAGGTTGCTAATGGAGCCCGAGTCTAGTGTGATTGATGATTTACTGTTATTTGGCATGTTTTACACTGTTTTACAGCTTTAAATGCATTATGGGGTTTGATGTGTTCATTTTATAGTTTCGAATGCATATATTACTGTTTTATTAATTATGGGTTGAATGACTGAAGAACTGATACTGTATGTTGTCTGTTCGGCATGAATTACGATTTGCTTGTTTAAATGTGAATTGATGATGCTTATTGAGGAAAAAGGGAAATGAAACATTGTATAGACTGATAATTGTATGACGGGGTCAGCCTGACTAGATATCCTGGGAGATGGTGGACGGACCGGGTCCGTAGGGAACCCTACCGGGATTGTGGTCTCACATGCCGGACGGGGCATGGAGATCTTATGGTTTTGGCGCCCATACCGGACGGGGTATGGGGACGGCCCGTTTCACCCTCATACCGGACGGGGTATTGAGGTTTATGGTTTTGGCGCCCATACCGGATGGGGTATGGGGACGGCCCGTTTCACCCTCATACCGGACGGGGTATTGAGGTTTATGGTTTTTGCGCCCATACCGGACGGGGTATGGGGACGGCCCTGGAAACTGATTATGAATGTTAAAGGTTAACGGGTAGCGGGATCCCTAGGGACCCCCATGGATACTAGTAGGCTGGTAAATGAGAAAAGGATATGTTGTATAATGATTGAATTACAAAAGGCGTGATAAGTGCTATGTTTTACAGCTTATATTATTCCATGATTGTGATAATGTTATTATTTTTCTTATATTGTTTTCATAAATTCCACCGAGGTAAGTGGATGGTAAAGGTTTTCATGTTAATAAACGAGTTTATTGTAAATTATGCTCCATTGGTCTTTTTGTGGTTTTCTACCCACCTTTATCTCCGTGACGGTGAGATATCGTGATGTTCTTACTGGGCTAGTGTAGCTCACTCCTTAATTAACCATTTCAGATCAGGAAGACATGGTTCCCGAGCCCGTTCCGCAGGAGGACGACGAAGGGGATGCCTAGAGACTCTGTAGTCATACGCATAGTTTATTTTCGAGTTTTCTTTCTTAGTTAGTTTAACCTTTTATATTTTAAGTACGTTTTTTTTTGTTTTTCGTGTAAGGGATGTTAACTGAAATTTTGATCTCGCTTCCGCATTCGATATATTTAAATACTCATTTCTTTTTTAATATTTTCCGGGGCCGTTACAATCAATATTAAGTATGATGCCTAAGAATTTTAAGTGCATCATCTATCTTTTTTAAAAAATTAATGTTACGTTATGTTCAAAAAAAATAAATAAAGATAAATTAGTGAAACATTTATTATTATTTAACTTATATATTTTTAAATTAAATTATAAAATTATTTATTTAATAACTTGATAGATGGTAATGTTTCATTTTATAAGAATTTATGTATTTAAGTTAGATGGTAAGTATTTTGTACATCATGCGACTATAGTATAAGTAATGTGTATTTATTTGATTTAATTATTAAAATATATAAATATTTATTAAAAAATTAATAATATTAAAAGAAGTTTTGATTTAAAAATAAAATAAAAAATATTTAATTGTCATCATTATTGAAGATTTCGCTAATCTTTTGTTGCCATTCGAAGTATATCAATTATACTCGGAATATTCTAATATATAAAATAAAAATAATTGGTGATTTTAAAAAATAAAAATAAAAAATAAAAAAACCAATTTAATACATACATTTTTTTTGTCGTTTTCTGTATTGTTGAGTATGTATCAATGACGTAATAATTATATTTGTTTTCTATTGATTTTTAATAGAAGAAATAATAGAACGTAATTTTCTATAATATAATTGAGTTTTTAAGAGGCAAAGTTTTTCCTTAAAAATTTTATAATATATTTTTTAGGAAAATAAAATATTTAATATTTAATTAGTTTGTATATATTGTTGGGTTGAGTCAACTCAGTGCGATTGAATTTGAATATTTGGAAATCTCGGTTTGACTATAAATAATCTTTGTTGATAGCAATTTCTTCCTTGGTGTTATCACTTTATACAACCTTTGAATTATATGAACCGACATTCCCCTTATCAACTCCTCCCTCCCTCTTATTTTACTCTGTTTCCCTCTTTTCTTTTTATTTATTTACTAATCAAAATGGTAATCATTATAATAATGCCACTAATTATTTTATAATATTTTTAATTTTTAAATAAATATTACGGTATATATGAATAAAAATTTAAAACATATATATAGTAACTGAATCTATTTAATCAACAAATATTACACATTAATAAGGTAAAAAAAAATATATGTATATATATATATATGTATGCGATCAATTTATTCATAAATATGTCAATAAATTATATTCTCTTAATTTTAATAAAATGTTAATAAATAAAAATTTATATTCCAAAGAGAATTAGCAAAATTCTAGAAAGAAAATATAAAAAGAAACAGGTGTTTTTGTTATGGCATGCAATGGCGAACTCTTTTCACCTAACCGCAACAAGACGCCGTCACACTATCCACCATTTCTGATTTTTGAAAACTTGCTCTTCTTTTTCTTCTTCATCTTCTTCCTCCGGTAGTTAAAGAAATTGGTTTAAAAAGGACAAGTAAACTGAACAAACGCAGTTTTCTTTTCAGTTTCCCAATATTCACCCACTCAACTAAGTCCAAATCTCCGAGTCAATCAACAACTTTAGATATATCACCTCCGTAATATTATTTATTGCCTACGAGATCGGAGAGCAGATGCTTCAGAGAAAACCCAAGTAGTGAAAAGAAGATCCCTTCCCAGTAATTAAAAGATCGTAACGAAATATTAAAATCCAAAAACCAAAAGACGCCTTCCCCACCAACTACAGAACAAACTGCCTTTTTTTTTTTTTTTTTTCTCTCTTTCTATCTCTAAAACCTCAAGCAAGATATTCGTTTTCAAAGTCTCCTTTGTGTTTTGGGTTCCCGGTTCTAGTGCCTGTCCCCTTCTAATTCTTCTTATTTCTTCTTTCTTTTTCTGCTTTCGTGTTTTGCTTTTCGCTATTTCACCATTCGTGGTTGTTCAACTGCTTCCCGAACATCCACTCTGGATAAACAATCTTCAAATTTTCATTGCATAAGATGATTAATTTCAGCGTCTGCATATTTTGAACGTGTTTTACTGGGTGTTGGAAAATGGGGATCAGTTGACTCTCTCGAAATTGCAGCCAAAATGCGTTTTTACAGTTTTTGAAACCGCCCATCATGGATCTGGAGAGTGGAGTTTATCGTGACACTATCAAGGTTAGTGGGTTATTCAAAAATATCACTTCTTTTTGTTTTCAAATTTTCGAGGAAATAGTTTTTATCTTCTGTGATCAAATTACCTTCTCTCTGGCTGGAACAATCATGGGTCTATGCTTATTGTATCCTTTTGCATTTCTGCGATCAAAACTATTGTGTTCATCGCGAAAACTGTTGGTTTGTATATGATCATGTTTTCTAATATGCATTGATTTTCTTTTGTCAGTACAAATCCTCTTCATTGATTGTTGTTATGGTCAGTTGCAGAAGGAATCGTGGAAAACGGTATTGACGTTAGCGTATCAAAGCCTCGGTGTTGTCTATGGAGATTTGAGCACTTCTCCTCTATACGTATACAAAAGCACATTCGATGAGGATATTCAACACTCTGAGACAAATGAAGAGATTTTTGGAGTTTTGTCTTTCGTTTTCTGGACTCTTACTTTAGTCCCGTTGCTAAAGTACGTCTTCATCGTGCTCAAAGCTGATGATAATGGCGAAGGAGGCACTTTCGCTCTCTACTCTTTGCTGTGTAGACATGCCCGAGTCAACTCACTGCCGAATTGCCAATCGGCAGATGAGGACCTAACCGAGTACAAGAAGGAGAACACTGGGTTAACACCAAAATCAAGTTTTGGGTCGAGCCTGAAGTCTACTCTGGAGAAGCACAGAGTGTTGCAGAGGGTTTTGCTTGTGCTGGCTTTGATTGGGACATGTATGGTGATTGGTGATGGTGTCCTCACGCCAGCTATTTCTGGTAAATAGTGATTTTCTTTTTCTGGGTTTTGCCCTGGTTTTGAGATCCGACTGCATCAATTGATTGGTTACCTGGGTCTTTGCTTTTGCAGTTTTTTCTGCGGTGTCCGGGCTCGAGCTTTCTACGGAAAAAGAGCATCACAAATGTGAGATCCTCATCCTTGTGTTTCAATGTTTATTCATTCATATCTGGTCTTTTTAACAACGTATTAGAATGAGAAGGCAAGTCATGGTTGAATGGTTTATGAATTGTTGATTATTTTCTGGTCAAGATAGTTCCTTTCTTTCAGCTGGATTTGAGAATCTGCCAATCTCTGTTCCTTAAACTTTTTCTTTTTTGTCGTGAACTTGCCAAGTTTTGGGGATAATGGATTCTGTACTCTGGACTGTTGCATAACTTTTAAGAAATTTCCATTAATGTAGAGTCTTTAAGAAGCCTTTCAGTATGCGTATTACCTATAATGATCTTCAATCTCACTCTAATTTCCGACCGTTGAATGTGCTGGTCATTGGCTTTTTCCCCATTAATGATTTTAGTCTACACAAAACATGTAGTTTTGACTACTACAGCTTCTTGACGTGGGGTCACTGTTATTATTTCTCAAGTCAAATTGTAGAAATCAAGTTCATTGAACAGCTATTGTGTCTATGGCAACTCAATTAGCAGAGTATGCTCAAAATCTTGAATTCGGATTCTTGAAACCCAGATTTCCATCATATTCCACTCTCTTATAATGCTTTTAAATTTGCTATTTGGCTTTAATTAGGGTGGCCCACTTGTTGAACATTAGAGGTGTTGGCTGGTTACATCTGCCCCAACCATCTGCTTCTTATGTTCAGTTAGAAGAATTAAATGACAACTGTCTGCAAGTTTTCTATATCATTTAAGTTGATAAGAGTTTAAACTGATTACTATGGCATCCTGTGGCCAGTTTCAAGAGTTCACAAGGAATAATTAAAGATTGAAAAGTCTTTGATAGTTGAATGGCCAGTTTCAAATAGCTGAATGCATAGAATCTATCTTGGAACCAAGACCCTGCCGCTAGACTATTGGTTAGCATTAATTTTATTTCCTGTAAACAAGCAGCACAGAGCCTCGCGTCTATAATATGTTGTGTGTGTACATGGAGAATTAACAGTCCGCACTTGGCACAGCAACAGGATAGGCTGTCAATACACCATATCACACCATACATAGCAACAAGTACAAAGGGCGATGTTTGCCCCCGTAAGGCCGAAGATGGGCCCTCTTACCAACAATCAGTAGACTCAAACGTGCAACCTCTCTTTGGTATCAGTTGTTAGGATCAAGCCCCTATCAATTGGCTCTGTAGAGCTTTGGGATGACAAAATACGGATAACCATTGCCTCCTTGTAAGGCCAACAGTATAGACCAGTAAAAGATCATATGAAAGTCGCCTTTAGCTTGGGTGAGAAAATATGTATGGTAGATTGGCTTTGCTGTCAGCCTATTTTTGTTTTGGGTTTCCGGCCTAAATTGTGGACAGACTGGCTCACTGTATGGAGAATGTCAGGAGGTGGTTTGGACTACAGTAATCTTTTTTTCATTTCTTGATAAACATTGCTACGGACAATATAATTATTTGTCCAATCTGATCCAGTTGCATGATGATTGGTCAAATAAGATGCTTCAATTATCACAATATAATGATATTGCCTCTGGATACCCCCATTTGATCTTAATTATTACTTGTAGCATGGTGCTGTATTGCTGCTTTTTCACTTTTATTCTAACAACTAACTTGTATGGTTCTGCCGGAAAAAAAAAAAAAACTAGAAACTTATCTAGATTTTTGTCTGTGCTTGTCCTCCACATGACTGATTGAAGATTCATTTGTTTGCTTTGGCTGTTTCATTCTGCAATTTCTTTCTTTCTTTCCTTCAAGTAAGGGACCTTATCAAGAACCACCTCTTATAAATTCAATCATTTTGCAGATGTAGAAGTCCCAGTCGCATGCATCATACTGATAGGCTTGTTTGCCCTTCAACATTATGGCACACACAGGGTAGGATTTTTGTTTGCACCTGTGGTCCTAACGTGGCTCCTATGCATCGGTGCCATTGGCTTATATAATATTATCCACTGGAATCCTCATGTGTACCAAGCACTTTCCCCACATTACATGTACAAGTTTTTGAAGAAAACTCAAAGAGGAGGATGGATGTCCTTAGGTGGAATTTTGCTGTGTATAACAGGTAATTTATCTGTATGAGATAGTTTGCTTCTTGAACTATCTAGAAGCAAAAAGACTATCTATCGCACTAATGCAAGTTTAATCTTATAGGTTCAGAAGCTATGTTCGCAGATCTTGGACATTTTTCACAATTGTCAATCAAGGTATTAATTTAATCTTTATCGAGATCCATTTACTTAATTATTGATGACTGTGTGACACAATTCAATTCATTGACCTGGAACAACAATCAAAAAGTGATAATTTGTTCCCCCTGTAATAGGATTGGTCATTATTAACCAAGGTGGTTAAAGTTCCATTCCTCTCCTTGCAGGAGGAAAATTTAGTTATCAGTGTGGATTATTTTGGCTGGTGTAGATGGGGCATACAGACAGATTTCCATATACCAAAGTAAATTAAGGCAGTTAGTGTCCTCTTGCTTTATCTGTAAAATATTTCTGCTTACAAACTATAATCTATTGTCTTGTGAGCATGTCAATTTTGGCCACTACTTTTCTGGGACAATTTGTGGCGGCAACAATCTACCTGTCTGCTTTATGCAATATGTAACATTTTCTAATGAATGTTTTTCATGGAACTATGATTCGTACAGATTGTTATGATTTGATGATTTCCATGTGGATTGTTATTATTGTGAATTTTTTGAGACAACATATTTATTTTGGTTAATGTCAAATATCAAATTGTACAAGTCGATACTTCATCATTCTGCCTATTATCATAATAAGTTTAACAGCTTTGCCTAATTGACATGCCTTCACATTTTTGCAGATTGCTTTCACATCTTTGGTTTACCCATCCCTGATTCTTGCATATATGGGGCAAGCTGCCTATCTATCACAGCATCATGAAATGGAGAATGATTACAGAATTGGATTTTATGTATCTGTTCCAGGTAAATAACTTGGTTGTTCTTCATGGAGGTTTTTCATTTGTTAGTAGGTGAGTTTCTCAGCTGACTGAAATTCTGCCATACCATTTCTCCAGAGAGTTTAAGATGGCCAGTTTTAGTCATAGCGATACTTGCTGCAGTAGTGGGAAGCCAAGCCATCATCACCGGAACTTTCTCAATCATCAAACAATGCTCTGCTCTAGGTTGCTTCCCCAGAGTCAAAATAGTGCATACATCATCAAAAATACATGGTCAGATCTACATCCCAGAGATCAACTGGATCCTAATGCTTTTATGCTTGGCTGTTACAATTGGTTTCAGAGATACCAGGCGTATGGGCAATGCATCAGGTATAACAGTTTCAATAGTCCTGTTTACTTCTTAGTTTCTCTATTCGAATACCACATTGAGTATACCTGATGTAAATGGCATCTTGTTTACTTCTTAGTTTCTCTGATATACATGTTAAATATTTAACTAATAAAGACGGAACTATTTGTTTGATTAATATATCATAAATCTTAGGTCATCTTTCTTCTTGCTCTTAGAATGTATGCTATCTTCTCCTCCACATGAGCTCCATTATTTTTCTTTCAGTGCTGAATCATCTGACAGATGGTTTCTGGTTGAACCTACCGAAAGTAATTTTAACCAAGTACCATCTGCCATTTGGTAATCTGATTGTAGCACTGAAAAAGATTTTAAAGGGACTAGAGAATGTAATTAAATATTGCATTTGAGTGGAAAAACCACCTGAAATTCAGTTGAACTAAAATGAGCATACGTGATGGTTTTATATTGCCGTATATGCTTGTCCGACAAAAAATATTTAGGTCAGTTGCGGTTTGCATTTCGTTTATAGAATGTCTTGTCACTCTGTTTACAACTAAAAAAAAGATATTTTGATGTCTCCACTTGCATAGAAATTTTCTTTCTATCAATTGTGAGAAATTATCATAAATTGCAATGGATACAAATTGAAATTCTCTTCCATTCTCTTTGCTGCAATTCTGAATGTATCGTTAAGGTTTTGGTTTTCTTGTGGAGCAGGTTTGGCTGTGATTACCGTTATGCTGGTCACGACCTGTTTAATGTCCTTGGTGATAGTACTTTGTTGGCAGAAGAGTGTGTTTCTTGCAATATGCTTTGTTTTCTTTTTTGGCACAATTGAAGCTCTCTACTTCTCAGCTTCCCTCATCAAGTTCCTTGAAGGTGCCTGGGTGCCTATTGCCCTTGCGTTCTGTTTCCTAATCATCATGTGTATCTGGCACTATGGCACGCTCAAAAAGTATGAGTTTGATGTCCAAAACAAGGTCTCTATTAACTGGCTGCTCAGCTTGGGTCCAAGTCTGGGCATTGTGAGGGTCCGTGGGATTGGCCTTATACACACTGAGCTTGTTTCTGGAGTCCCAGCAATCTTCTCCCACTTTGTCACCAACCTTCCAGCCTTCCATCAGATCCTAGTTTTCCTTTGCATTAAATCTGTACCAGTTCCCCATGTCAGACCCGAGGAACGGTTTCTAGTGGGTCGTATTGGGCCGAGAGAATTCAGGCTATATCGATGCATTGTACGATACGGGTACCGTGACTTTCACAAAGATGACATGGAATTTGAGAAAGATCTGGTTTGCAGCATAGCAGAGTTTATTCGCTCAGGAAGTATCGGAGCTGACTGTGCAAATGGTGATTGTGCAAACGGAGACATCTTGAACGAAGATGATAGAATGACCGTCGTCGGGACGTGTTCTACTCAGACAGATCGGATTCAGATGAGCGAGGATGATGCAGATAACAGGAATATAGCTGGACCATCAGAGGTGAGGGAGATACAATCTCCACCGCCCATCAAAAGGAGGAAAAGAGTAAGATTTATAGTACCAGAAAGCCCAAAGATTGATAGGGGAGCCATGGAAGAGTTGCAGGAACTCATGGAAGCTAGGGAAGCTGGGATAGCATACATTCTAGGTCATTCTTATGTTAAAGCAAAGCAAGGATCAAGCATGTTAAAGAGAGTAGTGATAAACATAGGATATGAATTTTTGAGGAGGAATAGCAGGTCAGCCAACTATTCCTTAAGTGTACCACATGCTTCCACACTTGAGGTGGGAATGATGTATAATGTCTGATTCTTGGTTCATACAGACTATAAGTAGTGTATATGTTTTATATCTTGAAATCTCCCCAAGTTTTATAGGACAGTTTGTAAATATAGAGTGGATTAGATAGTGATGTATAACTATACCTTATTCATCCAATGAATCAACAATACCAAATATATAAACCAAGTAATTTTATTCAAATACACTAAGTGAATCTGTTTATTTGAACTATGTGGGCTCTCCAATTGATTTTCATTTCTTAATTTTATAGACAGGCTTGGGATATTATTCGAATCTAAAACGTCAACTTTTACATAATTAATTATTAGGAAGTTTAATCTTCTTCTGATAATTTCAGGACAAGTGATGCAAATTTTTAGGGGAATGAAACCCACTAGTCCATACAAGCGGGCTTGGGCCTTGCAATATGGGGATCAAAGGGCATAATTTTTTTAGGGGAATGAAACCCACTAGTCCATACAAGCGGGCTTGGGCCTTGCAATATGGGGATCAAAGGGCATAATTTTTTTTTACCAATTACATTAATTCATATGAGTTCTTTTTATTGTATTCAGAATTTTATCATCACAAAAATGCTACTGATATAAATGAAACTTAAATTTGTCAAAAATATAAAAATATATATACATATAAATATATGTTTTACCAATTAGAATAACCTAAATGAATAAGAGAATTTGAACAAACATTTATGATTCAATTGAAATTTTCTCTACAATTTGGTAGTATGAAAATAGATGAGATTAATAATTAAATTAAAAAATTAACCCAATATCTTTCCTTTTTAAAAATTTAATTTAATTAACTTATTGAGGTATATATTTTTTATTTAAAGCAATTTAATTTATTATCGTGGCAGCCAACTTTTTAATAGTCAAGGCCTATCAAAGTTGACAAGTCCTCAATCTGATATTCAACTAGAGATTAGATAAGATCAAATGAACAAGATTTTCCCCCAAAATAAATAAATAAATGGACAAATATATATATATATATATATATATATATATATTATAGGAGGAAGTATATATATGTGTATGTAAAAATAGAATATTATTTTTTTATTTAGTTATAATCAGTAGCTCTCAGAGAAATATATAAATATCTATGTCGGCTGCTAGTTGCCACCACGAAACATCGTCCCCCCAAGTATTAAGAAATTTAATGCAATCCTCTGTTTTATTCAATTTTATACTTTATCTTGCTGCCCATCAATTCGTACATCCTTTTGTAGCAAATAAATCAGCAGCCGTGTATATATATATATATATAAGTATATATATATATATATATATACTTATATATACTCGATAATATGTAACCTTTTTTTTTTTTTTTGTATATATCTAATACACATTTTGAAACTTGTAAGTCAATGTAATAACCTAGTGAATAGCGTAGTGCAACATGATCATATTTAAACAAATAAATTGTTAAAATGTTACGTTAAAATGTGCATAAGTAATTATTTTATTAATTTTTTTAAAACATGATTAAAAAAGATTTTAAAATTTAAATTTTAAATATTATAAGTTATATGTAGGAAGAACTAATTCTTTTAGAATTTCTTAACCGATTATGTTTAAACTTTGAGTTTTTATAGAGTCAACTTCTAAATAGTTAGGATTAGTTTTTAATATTATTCTTAAGTGATTTTTAGAATTTATAATTTATTTTTAAATTATATTTAAAAAATATTTTAATTATATCTGATAATGAAAATTACAAGTGACAAAATAGATAATAAAATTTAGGAACATATGTCATAACAGGTAGCGAAGTATTTGTCAAACAAACTAATAAAGTTTAGAAAAACAGTTGACAACCATTTTTTAGTAATTTTAATCAACTCACTCTTAAAAAACTTGCTATAAAAACTTAGTGATTAATCACCTCATCTTATCAAATATAATTGTACCATGAGTATATTATTATAACTATTAACTCATTTTTAACTTTAAACTTTATGAAGTTGAATTATATAAAGATATATTATGTAACAGTTTGATTGGCATTCTATAATCAGTGCTTTCAATCTTCATTCTCATACTCCTTAAGTTTTTCTTCTTCTTTACTATTGACTTAAATATTTAACAGTTTTCAGTAATAAAGCTCAGAGGAGTCACCATTTGTTTGCGTTTATATATTAAGGATGCATGGAACTACCTAACTATTAACTTGGCTTAAGCTTAACATTTATTTAACAAAAAGTTTAAACTAAGCTTAAGACTTGCGGCCAACTTATTATCTTCTCTTATCAACCTTGCCTAGTCATGTATGTATGTCAGCATCTAAATTATGTTTTATGTTCTTATACATAATGATATTGGTAGTATTGTTACCCTTGATAGTTAGCCCCTAAAAAGACAACGTGTGCCCCTGAGAGACATTTCTTGATAATGATTAATTCAATACCTCCTTAAAAGATACAAATTTCATTATATCATCCTCAAGTTTTGCCAAAAAAAAATTTATTCTCAACTAACTATGATAAATAGACTATTTTCGAGGGCGTTGTATCGATTATTGTGGAAAACAATTAATAAATAAGTCAAATATCGAGATCTAATGATGTTTCATCAAATATATTAAACGAATCATAATTTTTAGACTCCCATGTTATCTTATTATAAGCATGATCTTAAATCATATAAATATTATTAAATCTATAAAAATATAATTTGTTTGCTACTTTAAACATCTTAAATTCTTTTTTAAACTTTCTACGCTCTTTATTTTCCATGAACTGATTTAGTGATTAAAAGTTTTTATTGAGAAAAAACTCATTTTTCCCACTAACTATTTCATGTCTAGTTCATAAGCCAAAGCTTTGAGATTTTTGGACCATGTTTAACTTTGAGCAAGAGCATTCCCCTTACTTCATTTTCTCTAAAATTCGTTAATGATAAAGGTACTGTGCCCTTAGATAAAAGATGAAACATACCAGCACAAGGATAAAAGAAAAAACATGATCTCTTTTTTGATGTCTTGGTTATTTTAAAAGGTTAAAGGTAGTGCTACTAGATTTAGTTCTTAGAAAATACAATATATTTGTAGATATATACTTCTATGTCCTTTAGAATAAAAGATCTACATTCTATCGACCTAATTGCATCCCCCAGTAATGATTTATTTAATATCTCTCTATGGGCTCCGTACAAACTGTCGTGCAAAGAAAATTATACGAAAATTAAAATCATCATGATTTAATATATGCATAAATTTCGAGATTTAGTGATACTAGTGGATATTTCTAAGTTACTTAAACTATTAAAGTAACACTTACTCACTAAACTTCTTTTAGTCTTCTTATATATCCTTATAAATAAGTTTGATTAATACTTTTAAATCTAAAAGGATGTAAGTTTTTGCTACCTAAACTCTCCGAGGTCTCTGTCAACCTCTTTATTCTCTCCATTCTTCTTATATTGATTTTATAATCAAATGATTTATATTATAAATAA